CAGATTCAGGCCCCGTTTGCACTAATACAGTGCGTTTTAGTTTTAAAACGCATACGTTTTGCTATGGTTACGCCGTCCATCCACACTACGCCGGAGTTTTTGAGTGCCAATAATGGAGCTTTTTGAAAACGTTGAGGAGGCCGTTCTCATTTAAAAACGCTGCTGCTTCATCCTAGTGTGGATGGGGGGAAACGGAGACATCCGAAAACGGAGGCGGGGCTGCAGATATTCGCCTCTCTGATTGGGGATTTTCCTCAATATTAAGTAGCCTACACACAGTTCAATCCTGCATCCTCTTCTGATAAGTTCAGAATTCGCAAGATTGATATGAAAAACAAACTCCCGAGGACATGTCGGGTAAATCTTCAAAGGGAACAGTGTACTTTATAACGCATCACCCTGGCTATGCTGTTTCACTTTCTTAACAATAAAATGAAAACATGATTTAAGGAACTGCCGATTTTTATTTTGATATTAGCAACTTAACTGACAGCAGAAATGCTGAGGCGTCGTAAATCTACATATTTATATGACGGTCATCTTCACTGTATGCATATTTATAACAAAACAGTCAATAACATTACTGCCTCCTTTCATTTTCAGTCAAAATACGCAACATAACCTCTCTTTTGCTGAATATCAGTTTTAATAATCAACAATGGCCATTAAAACAGCAGCCTATAACCATTACGTTGATACAATGGAGGAATTAAAGGAAAGAAATCAGTGAAATGTACAGAATCAGTGTAGTATATTAACTTATCTTTGCGCTCAGCCAAAACACATTACCTGAGAACAAGTAATAGATTCAAAAGACTAAAGTTAGGGAATATGGCGTCACATAAAGACAACAAGATGAATTAGCAGGCCCGGATTGGCTAATCGGGAGTACTGGGAGAATTCCCGGTGGGCCGGTCTGTTTTTTGGCCGCGAGGGCTGGTGTCCCTAGCTCCTTGCACTCTCAGCAGTCACATTTTTTTCTTCTATTTATTTATTTGACCATAGCCTCACTCTTTTTAATCCTTATTTTGCCGCAGTGCCGCTCTTTTTATTTATTTTCTCGCAGCCCCGTGAGAAAAATGCAGCCCGCAGGTTAACTAACGTTAATGATGATGATGTAATGTAACTATCGACCCCAAACAGCGGCAACTTAGTTAATATAAGAATTCGAATAAAATGAATAATACACCTGCTCAATAAAAATCAAATGATTCAATACATTAATAAATCTGACAAAACTTGATCAGAAATCTAAAAATAGGAGAAAAAGATTGAGCCATCAAAAGAAAGTAGTGCTGTGCCTTAAAGGGCCATGAAACCCCTCGTTTCAGCAGGGTGTTTTCACACCTCTACTTTGGAAAAAGTCAGAAAAGTGGGCGTGTCCAGCTCTGTTTAGGGGGGAGTGTCGGAGGAAGAAAAGCGGCTTGGTGTGGGAGTGTCTATTTGGGCGCGCTAAATTTCAGAGTCAAAACACACAACCACAGCGGACAATGTGACTGTGTTTACATGGACATCTGTTGTCGAATTATTTGCCAAATTATTAAATGGTGGACTTTAACTGCAGTTTGGCTCTTTCCTTCAGGGAATTCATTAATGTCCCTCGCGACAAACGTGATATTTGATTCGAGGCGCTGCTCTAAGCGTGTATTTTTCATGCAATGTTTGATACCGCACGGCGAATGAGAGAAAAAAAAAAACTCAGCATTTCCCGGAAACTTAGATGCACACGGCAGGTAGCGTCAGAAAGCCGCGTGTGTTATTCCGGTCACAAAATCCAACACGAGGTTATAGTTTGGTTGTAACTGTTAGTGCTAACTATTGCACTCGGTGCAATAGTTTATTTGATAAGAATAAAATACGAACTGAATAAACAAAGAGCACTGGTCGCTCACTTACCAAATAGAGACAGGACAATCACCAGCAACTAGAGCCGCGTCTTTATTTAGAGGAGACTACAATCTGGATCTCAGCGTTTGCAGATGAGAACAGCTCTCAGGTAAACAATAATCCTCCTTAGACACGTAAGTTATTGTTGTCGAGCGTCGCGTACACTGTTAATCCACGCGTGAGTCTGAGCTCTCACAGAGAGAAAATGAAAACAAAACTTAACGGCAGCAAACTATAAAAGCAACACTTCACGCTTGTTTTGCCAACATAACGTGGCGTCTCTGTCGTCTAAACACTGTGACAGTAATGAATATTAATGAAGTTGCACAATAGAGCGCGCTGATTGGTTTGAACCAAGCCTTACTCATGAATTAATGCAACACACTGTAAGACGTAATAAGACTCCCTCTGGCACAGACGTCCAGTCTGCACGCTGGAATACACGCTATTATGTCATGACCGTGACGCAGCTTCAAAAATTCATTTCAAACAGGAAGTACGAATTTGCTTGAAATAACGCAAAAACAACCAATTTACACTTTTTAGTGAAATATAGGTGTCCTAATAGTGTTTTTAGCAGTGTGGGACACATATACGACATATACGTGTTTCATGACCCTTTAAGGGTCGCAAGTCATTAGTTATTTTTTACTCTCACTGTAATAGCGCCATTGTGGTCCAGTGGTAAGCACATTGCGTTTCAATGCTGCGGACCCGTGTTCGAAGCTCCCCTGAAAAATAGTTGTTTTTTTTTCATTTTTATTGTGAAGACATAAGATACTGTTAGGGCTGTTGAACATTTGAATTTCTAAAGCAGCAGTTTTCTTGAAAAAGACGTGATAGTGCCATTAGAAACTGAGTTGGAATCAGTCGTGAACTGAGGTGGGGCGGTCTGGCTTGAAACTCCAGGGCTGAAAATGAGTCCCACTCCGGCCCTGTGAATTAGATATCACTTTTAGCAAATATAGTGAGATAAGATCAAGCAGTAGATTCTTGATGAACAGCCTGACGTGCACAGCTCTCATCACTAAAGTGCATGTCAGAGTGTGTGTGGTCTCGTGATGTGCATTTTCAGCGGTGTAGTGTGGACGGAGGGCTGTTCAGGAACACAAGGTGAAACGCCCGTGTGGACGTGGATCGTTTCATTCGAAAACGGCGTTTTAAAACTAAAACGTGTTCGTGTAAACATGGCTGCTTCTCACTCAGGGCTGTTTATGCTAATGAGGGAGAAATGGTCACTAGTGGGCGGGGCTTTCCCCCTCTGATGCCACAAACAAAGGGAGAATGTCAATCAACGCGTTTCTGCAGACTGTTTTTTTCAAGTGTGATTACAAAACAATAGAATTAATAAATTTTGACCATTACGCCTGTTTCACACCGCAAGCGTCAGCGGCGCGTGAGCAGAGCGTGAGCAGCGCGTATGTCGAGCAGTAGCAGCACGCAGGCGTTTGTCTTTCACACCAGCTGCGTCTGCAGAGATCAACCTATCTCTGTCTATTCTATCTAGTTAGCTATGTCTCTCTATATACAAATACACTTTTTAAACTTTTCATCTGCACCAAGGCCTCTCCTATGCTGTTTCTTTAACCTGCAAATGTTTATTTTACAAATTTTATAGATCAAATAGTACTGTATGCTTCTCAAGCTAACTTATATGAGAAGTGTCTACAGTCAGAGGACAATCGCCTGTGATATCATGTCATTTGTTTTTTGATTATCAGGTTGCTGTAGACCTAGTTATAATCATATTTATACATTATAGTTATAATAATATTTATACATGATCAAACTAGTGTTACTTTCTCCGCTTCAGTGATGTCCAGCGGCAGAATAACAGCTCGTTAATTCATGCTCGTGCACATGATGAGACGGACAAAAGTAACCACTGCATGCCATTCTTTTACTTGTTTTCGTGTTGTCAGATTCACAGTGCAAACAGCTCCTGGTAGGAATAACTCGAGTGAACATAAAACAAAGCCGATTAAAACTTTCTTGCTTTCTCAGCTGCACAGAACACAGCGAGCTCACATAATCCAGCATGCGTGTCGAACTACACTACCCACAATACACTTCGCTATGGACTACAAATCCCGTAAATATTCTATTTCCCCTCTCCTGCAACACTAGTGTGCAACTTAAGCAAAACTGATACTAAAATTGTTTTACATTTGGTTTTGTAGTTCGGGCCTAAATAAATGTTTGTTTTTAATCGTTTTAAGTTCATTTAAATTACTATATATAAACTATTTGACATTATTAACGCATTTATTGGGTAAAATTGCTACTTTTTACTGTCATTCAATGTGTTTTGGTCATTATCAATGCACTGTCACTTTAATTGAGCGTGAGCAGCGCGTCAAAAATAGACCCAGCGCCGAAACTATCGCTGCACTGCTCTGACGCGCTGCTGCTGCGTGCGGTATGAAAGCTCTAATCTGTTAACATGGACGCCGAAAACACACGCTGCTCACGCGCCGCTGACGCTTGCGGTGTGAAATAGGCGTTAGAGGCTGGTTATATTCACACACTGCTGCCACACAAGGGTGCTTAAACCCCTTATAAAACTGATTTGTGCATAATAGGTCTCCTTTAATTAAAATTAATCTCTTCTATGTAAACTCTTATACAAAAATCAATCAATAAATCAGAAAATTGTGTCATCATTTCCTCATTTTCTAAATCTATGACTGTCTACGGGTAATAGTATAGTGATGTTCCCTCTACACACCATGTTTACACATCAATAATAAAAAGCCACACAGGATTACTTGGGTTAAAAAAAAAAAACACAGCAAGCTTTACGTGCATTTCACAAATGTGCAATTCACAAAATCAGTTTTACCAGTTGACTACTGCAGTTACCAGCAGAGTGTGTACAGGTCCAACAGTGCACATCCCTAATGGAGATGTGTGTGTGTGTGTACACATGTGAAAGAGGCAGAGATTCCCCCAGAGATGGAGAAGCGCGAGTACACATGCCTATAACCAATTAGCTGCCGGGCAGCTCTTCTCTTCAAAGCAGCCTGCGGTAATCATACACGCACACACACACACACACACACACACACTGGTCAATGTAGAGGAGCTGATCATGAATAATGCACCGCCTGCCTGGTGGGTGTGGACCAGAGAGCGTGTGCCTGTGAGTAAGAGCGAGCATGTGCAAACGTCAGTGTGTGTGTAAATGTGTGTGAGGAATCCCTCCCCCAACCAGCCGGTGCCTGCAACATGAGGTCAGCGAGCTAGAGGAGAGGAGAGAGAAGACGAGGGAGAGCAGCGGAGGAGAGATGAAGATCTGAGGAGGAGGAGGAGGAATATGCAGAGCGGAGGAAGAACAGCCTGTCGATGGCAGCCATGCTGAGTCCAAAGATCAGACAGACCCGGAGAGGTACAGTACGCTGTGTTTGTATTTCATCTGTCAGCTCTCAGGGGCCGCGACACACACACACACACACACACACACACACACACACACACACACACACACACACTGAACAGCCTTTCATCTCACAGCATCTCTGCTGCACACTGGCTGGATCATCTCTGCTCATCACACTTCAGATGCAGGATTATGGCACTTAAAAAAAACATATCTATATATTACAGTATTGTGTGTGTGTGTGTGTGTATATTTGCATATGTATCTATCCTACTATTTATGTATGTATGTATGTATGTATGTGTATATATATATATATGTATATATGTATATATATATATATATATATATATATATATATATATATATATATATATGTATATATGTATATATGTATATATTTATATATATATATATATATATATATATATATATATCTGTGTGTGTATATGTGTAATTGTTTGTGCATATATAGTCATGTATGTGTGCATATATTATGACTGCATGATATGGAAAAATCTAACTTTACAATATTTTGTCATTCTGCGATATAAATATATATATATATATATATATATATATATATATATATATATATATATATATATATATATATATATATGGCCATATGAATAATTATAGTTTGATTGGGATGAATCTAGAGTGAAAGTGCATCTGCATAAGATAAAATAAACAATTCATAAAAACAATAAACATAGATACAATAATAAATTAATTATTGTAATAATAAAATTTATTAAATAAATAGTGTCTGATCAACAGTATTCAGGTGCAATGATTGAATAATAAAAAGTTCTTATGCTTGAATGTTTTTAACATCATTAAACATTCACAGGCCTCAAAAACACGTCAATGATAAAATTAATTCAACATTGCAAATCCTGTTATGTGATTATTGCGAATTAATACATTGCAATGTTGATGGTGAATTGATATATTGCGCAGGCCTATATATATATATATATATATGGATGATTTATTATTTATTATATATGACAATGATATTTTAACCAACTAGTTACATAATCGCACAAAAATAATAGACGAACGGGCGGAAGGATGGATGGATCAAGAGCAATCGATAGAATGATGGATGGATGGATGGAAGGATGGATGGAACGATCAATAGAATAATAGAACGATTGATAGATTGATAGAATGATAGCTACAACAATGGATGGATGGATATATGGATGGATGGAAAGATGGATCAATAGAGCGATCGACAGAATGATAGATTGAACGATCGATAGCTAGATGGATGGATGGATGGAACGATAGATGGATATAGAACGATAGATAGAACGATGGATAGATAGACAGAACGATGATGGATGGATGGATGAATGGATGGAACGATAGAAAGAACAATACAGGGATAGATGAATGGAACGATGGAAGAATAGATAGATAGAACGACAGAGCGATTGACAGAATGATAGATAGAACGATAGAAAAATAGATAGAACGATGGATAGATAAAACGATGGAGGGATGGATGATGGATGGAATGATAGATGATGGATAGAACGATAGATCGATCGATAGAACAATTGATAGAACTATGGATAAATAAATAAAATGATGGATGATGGATGAATACTTGCTTCTCATTATATCCAATTAGAATTAAAAATACAAATTTATTAAAAACAGGTTTAAAAATCTCCTTCAAAAATGTGATTTTGCTTCATTTATAACATTTGTTGGCTTTAATACATCTGTAAATAGGCTGCTGTTTTTTCTATGATCAATATCCATGGCAGTGTTTTACTGGTGGCAGAAATGCTGTAGTTTTGTTATAATAGTTACTGTTATAATTAAACATGCAGCATTGACTAATCAGCAATCCTGTCATTCTCATTATGATGAGCCTAGACATCAGTTATGGTAAAACTGATCATTCATTGATAACTATTTACACCACCAAACATTGTGTGTATCTTAATATGTCTCTATGGCTCAAATCAAGTCTCATTTGTTTGCTCTTATGGTGCTGTGCCTGACAATATGCTAAACCACGATCATCCAGCGGTGCATGTTCCACCTCAACAGCTGAACATCAGCACACATTCCTCTCCCATCCGCAGCGCAAAACGCACACGCCCACAGCGGGCTGATCATCATTCATCAGCAGCCTATAGCACAGTGCTGGGTGAGATGTGAAATACAGGCAGGAGACGATCTGAAGCATAAGGCTTCATTCATCATGCATCAACTTGATGGACGACACTGTGTTAATAAGCAAAGCTCAATGCGTATGAAGAAGCAAAGTGTTTTACGTGCTTATGTTCTCCGAGCCCATCCCCCATCCGCCTCATGCTACCTGCTGAACATAAGGCTTTTGCTGGGAGACCATGTTAAAGTACACGTGACATCAAAACTAACCGTGTTGATTCAGTTAGCTCACATTGCTAGTTTTGGGTGAACAAGTCATCTGTGCAGGTCATTAAGAAAACAAATAGTTTTGCCCTCTAAAATAGAAATGTGAAAATGTTCTTCCTGTTTGTTTTCAGTTTAATTATGAGATTAGGTCTGCCTGAGGTATTGAGCGTGGCTAACATACATAACCACACCCAGGGCCGGCGCGTCCATAGAGGTGACCTAGGCGGCCGCATAGAGCGACAGAATAGAGAGGGCGGCATCACCGACACGACCATCACCTCTCGCGCCCTCAGATATATCTGCATCTAGGACACTATACGCGACACTACCCTCACCACCCGTGCCCTCAGTTATATCCGGATGTAGGGCGGCAGAATAGAGAGGGTGGTGTCCGCGACACTACCCTCAGCACCCGCGCCCTCAGTTATATCCACGTCTAGGGCGGTGTCCGCGACACTACCCTCACCACCCGTGCCCTCAGTTATATCCGGATGTAGGGCGGCAGAATAGAGAGGGTGGTGTCCGCGATACTACCCTCAGCACCCGCGCCCTCAGTTATATCCACGTCTAGGGCGGCGTCCGCGACACTACCCTCACCACCCGTGCCCTCAGTGATATCCGGGTGTAGGGTGGCAGAATAGAGAGCAGCACCCGCGCCCTCAGTTATATCCGCGTCTAGGATTGCGTCGCGACACTACCCTCACCACCCACGCCCTTAATTATTAACGTGCCTAGGGCAGCACATTAGAGAGGGCGGCGTCCGCGACACTACCCTCACCTCTCGCGCCCTCAGATGTATCCGCGTCTAGGGCGGCGTTCGCAACACTACCCTCAGCACCCGTGCCCTCAGTTATATCCGCGTCTAGGGCGGCAAAATAGAGAGGGCGGTGTCCGTGATAGCTCCCTCACCACCCTTGCCCTCAGTTATATCCGGGTGTAGGACGGAAGAATAGAGAGGGTGGTGTCCGCGACAGCTCCCTCGACATCAACCCCCCCAACCCGTTTTCACTTTAGGGTTGAGGGCGGCGTAACCGTCCTTTGCCTAGAGCGTCAGTTCAGCTTGCTCCGGCCCTGACCACACCCTTTTACCTGTCAGTTAAGGCAAGATGGAGGTTAGGTGGAGGTGTCTGTTAGGTTGTATTAACTGGCCCCAAACTCCTTCCTTTAATCTTTCTGAATGAAATGCCTGCTTAACTGCATCCAATCACCTCGCATCGAAAAACAAGCCACGCCCACTCATTTTCTCATTTAATATTTTGTTTTTCCAGAATCTGCCTCACAATACTGAATAAAAAAATGGTCGCAGCTTCCGCTTCATGCAGACTTTAACGCACCAGTGATCAATTTATTCACGATTTCTGGAATGCTTCTTTCTCGTCACTCTAAACATTTATTAATAACATCAAGCTGCAGAACTAATTTGCTTCAATTAACTTGAATTCAAAAAATAGTTTTTATTATTATAGCTTTGCATTTTTAAAGTATGCGTGAACCGGAAGTTGCTGAGACTTTTATTTCAGTATGTTGATGTACTTCCTGAAACGGAATATTAAGTATAGAGGTAGGGCTTTAATTTGCGCACCATTCATTCATTCATTTTCATTCGCTCTTCCGTGGTCGGGTTTTGAGGGCAGCAGTCTTAAGAGAAAAAACCCCAGACTTCCCTCTCCCCAGACACTTCCTCCAGAGGACCCCGAGGCATTCCTAGGCCAACCGAGAGACATTGTCCCTCCAGCGTGTCCTGGTTCTTCCCCTAGACCTCCTCCCATTGTGACATGCCCGGAACACCTTCCTAGATAGGCAACTAGGAGGCATCCGAAACAGATGCCCGAGCCACCTCAGCTGACTTCTCTCGATGTGGAGGAGCAGCTACCCTACTTCTGAGTTCCTCCTAGGTGACAGCTCCTCACCCTAACGATCCTGCCACCCTGCAAAGGAAACTGATTTCAGCTGTTTGTATTCGAGATCTTATCCTTTCAGTCATGAGCCATAGCTCCTCCATTAACCGCCACCTTATCGTGGTGGAAGGGTTTGAGTGCCTGGGTGATCCTAGGAGCCATGTTCTCGGGGGTAGAGGGGTAATGCCCCTGGTAGGGTCTACCAAGGCAAAAAGGTCTTAGGTGACAGGTCAGACTAAGTGCAGTTCAAAAACCCCTTATGAGCCTAATAACATCGAGGACCGAGACGTTGCCTGGGATGGCACAGCCGGGGCCCCACCCTGGAGCTAGGCCTATGGTTGGGAATGTTGCTATGGAAGCCCTCTGGTGACATCAACAGAAGGACCAACACTCCAAACGTTGAGGAAAATACCAAACTGGGGTGCTGGTCAATCAGTGCTTTTGAAAACACTATCGGTTGGTTTTAGGGAAGGGGGTGGGTGGATTGTTCAGTCAATCAGTCTACAGCGGCCTCTAGTGGATTTACGTGAGAAAAGCAGGCCTCTGGTGGATTCGTGAAAAAAAACTGAAGAAAAAAAAAACATACCTCCTGGGACGTATTTCACAATCTCCAGATATGTATATAGGGGTACATATCGATAATGAGCCTGGGTTAAAAAAAATGCTTGTCTTACTAAGACTTTTTGTCTTGTTTCTAGTCCAAAT